AAGGAGTTTTTGTTGACTTCTCTGCTGTATGTAATGGGGGCTGGGGGTTTGTGCTGCATAGAGGAACAGCTGGGTCTTGGCACTGGGGCCTTCGGAGGTAGACTTTGCTCAGTCCAGGGAGCTAGGATGAGGGATGGAGTCAGGACAGAGTTAGAACTCAGCGTGTGCCAGAGATCAGGGGATTGCCTCTCCTCCAGTGCAGGGCAGTGCCGTGGGCTCAGAAATGCATTGTGAAGGTCAGACACAGGGACACTGGTCACAGGCCCCTGGGCAACACCTGCTGCTTCTGAAAGCTGTCTGTGAACAAGAGCCCTGTTCTGCACATAGTGGGCCACTCTGGTTTGGTGGATGCTCTGGTCTATGGCCTTTGCAGGTCTTGTTCTCTGAGGACAGGTGGCTGTCCATTTGTTTGTGAAAACATCACCTTGATAGAGCAAGGGAACTATAAGTAACTTCCAGTCTTTGAATAGAAGGATCAGGAAACCTCTAAGGGTGAGCAGCCCTCCTGACAGTTAAACTTTGACTGGTCACACATTGTCCTCATAATCATATTAATGTGATGCATCCAAAGGGACTTCAACTTGTACCACAGCCACTGCTGCCTTTTATCTTCTGTCTTCCTGGTGAATCAGGAAACACATAACCCAGAGCATGTGTCCTGCCTTCTCACTGCACAAAGACTCTTGCAGCCTTTGCCAACGTTGGCTTGTCTGCCTGTGTTTGGCAGTCCCTGCATTTTCCACTCCCCTCACTTACTTTGTGCAATTGTTTCTTCAGAATTACACTTCTCCGCAACTTAACACAAAGCTTTCCAAGGATAAAGTTTGCTTTACCTTTTTTCATAACATTGACTTGTATAAGAAGCCTCTGTTTCAGAAATCATCTAAAATAATTGTGCTACCACCCTTTCACCCCTTTTATTTCTCCCATTGCTGCAGACAATGCCCTCTGCCTTCCCCTCTTGCTCTTCAGTACAGCTTGAGTTTTCCCAGGCTAGGTTCAGGAGGCTGGGCAGTGGGGCAGGTAGCTGATCTTGCTTGATTTCCTGGTTTCTCCTTTCTTCCTGGCAGCCCTGTCACCTGCAGCCAAACTCTGGCCAGAGGGATGGTTTGCAGTGTGGGCAGGAAACCTGTATGGGAGGCTCCTCCAAAACACAGCTTGTCCCATTTTAGATGGAAGATATGTGGCAGTTACTGTAAAAAGCAGTGTTTGCTTTGCTGGTTTAAACTGTAAGTGCTTTGAGGGCAGGGCCTGGCTTTTATGTATGTACATGTGGGTGTGTATTTTTATACAATTCCTAATGTGACACACACAGGAGCTGCTGTGTGCAAAGCCATAGCTTTCTGTCTTGTGGCAACTTAGAGAAGTGTTTTTCCTGATCCGGAGAGGTGAACAGTGATTCTGATCTGAACACTGGGGCTATTCAGAGACACAAATTGCTTTGGACCTCTGGACACAACTGTTTTCTTTCTGTTGTCACCAAGTAGTGTACCCCAATGTATTCCAGGTACAGCAGTGATAAGCATGGCCCTGTGTCCACAATGATGTTGGGATGGATTCCTTGACCAGTTAAGGAAGAAAAAGCTGCATTGTACTCTCTGTCATTTGCTGACTGGGATGCCATCATTAACCACCTCTCACCCATAGTTTTGACCAATTAAACAATTGCTTGCTCTACAAAGACTTTGGATTAGAAACAGACCTTGCTCTTTATGTGTGCTGTAAGTAGAAGAGAATCTGAACTCAGCAAAATTTTAATTTAAACTTGATGCTATTTTCTTTTTAAGAGACAGGCATATATTTTTAATCCTTTGCCAGGTGTCTGCTGAGACATCCCCTATGTTAAAGAGATAAGTCAAGAGTGAAAATTTTGGTTTCTGTTCCTTTGGCATACTCTTTACTTAGTTTATGCTAAACTGCCACACTTTTGAAACATGATGCATTTTTCTGCAGCTTGTAGTGTGTGATTTCAGGGTTTCTCTGTTTCGTAAACTTATTTTGTAAACTGAAATGTTCTTAGGAAAGGTTCAGGTCAAAGCTTAGGAGTGACTCCAGCAGTGAGAACGGACAGGTGCTGGCTTAGACTGCATGGGGGCTCTGAAGTCTTCGTCCCTGAAAGGCTTTAGGAACACATACAGCTGTAAAGAGTTGATGTAAATATTAGTGGCTCTGCCAAGACAGCCTCTTGAGGTCTTTCTTTTCCTCTCATAATTTCCATGATATCTGGGTGATGCATTACATTTGTCTATCACACGTCTATTCTTTAATCACTTATGTTTCCTTGAAACTCAAAATCAGATTCTAGCAACATCTAGGAGAAGATCCTGGGACTCTTCCATCATGGTTCTGGGATGTCTAAACTGACAGACTCTGGACCTCTGGCAGTCACAGGAGAAGGTTTAAAACCTTTGATGACATGTTTTGTGCTCCTTTTCCCAAGCCAAGCCATAAAGCACTCACTGTTAAACTTACCATGAAGCAGTGAGTAGACAGCAAGTAAACTTGGGACAGCAAATAGAAATCTTTCTTTCTGCTTGCCTAGCATAAATGGAGATGAGGATTTTATTCTTATTAGCTACAAACAAGAACGAGAGAAGACTGCAAGGAAAAATCATCCTGTGCACAGCCTTGAGGTCTCTGATGAAACGAAATAACACAAAATTTACAGATGCTAAAACCAGTGATAACATTGATTTGATGCTGCATTTTGTCTTCCTCCTATAATACAGTAAAATAGCCTGTAATTCACATTGCAAAATTGGCATGCATGGCTCTTTGAAGATATCATCTTCCTCGTATGTCTGCAGTGGCCAGAATAACAAGCCCACCCACAACAGTGCTACAACAAGGCATACAAATAAATAAATAAAGAGGGACAAATAACAGCATCTCCTCAGGGCAGCTGCCTGCTCAATGTGTCTTGCTTAGGTTGTGAACTCTTCAGCACAGGAAAGTTTTTGTTCCTTGTAGTTTTAAATTCACCCCCAGTGCTTAAGAAGGTAATAGATTATGATAATTGTGTTTATTACGTTGCATAAAATGTTACTTCAGATATTTAACTTTCAAATGGTTGCTGACAGTGACATTAGTTCAAATTTAGAGAGTTTGTTTGCACTGTGTCTTTAGCCAGGCATTTTAAAGTGAGCAGTTGTGGCCTGAGGTGACTGCTATAGCATGAAAATTCTCTGGAAAAATGTGTATGCATTGTGGTTTATTTATTATCTTTGTATGTGTATTTCAGCTATTGGTGCCTAAGTTGGTTTTTGGGGGGTGACTGTAGCCTTGTCACTTGCTGGGTGGCTTCACTGTTTCTTTCTGTTTATTTAAGATTATCAACTTCTGTGTCTCCCCTCTGTAACTGTGGCGTCTGCAAGCAAAATATTTCTTCCTTCAAAATGAAAAACAAACCCTAGCTTAGGGGAGCAAAATTAGCTTCTGACCATCTGTTAGAAGGTTAGCAGTATCACTACCTTGAACTATGGCTTCATTTTTGTATTTCATGGAGCAGCTTCTCTGCATTGTTTATATTGTGGTTGAAGGGGATCTTCCTATAGCAGGATGCAATAGGAACGTCATTTTTCCTCTGACATGAGCAGATGTCCTATCTGCAGTAGTAGCAATAACATTGCTGCTTCCTGTTGTTGCAGGTGTTGTTAGCAGGCTGGAGCTGAAGGCAAAGAAGAGGCACATTTCAGCCTGTGCCATTCACTGCCATCAACACCAGCACTCCCCATGCACCTGCTTTCCCAGTTGTACTTGTTAGTAGTGCCTTTCTTGGCTAGTGGGCAGAAGTTGCCCTAGAACACAAATTTATTTCCTTACTACCTGGCCTTTGCTTCCAGACTCTGTTGTTCTTCTTAGCATTGATATCTCTGCTTTCTCTAGATTTGTTTATACTAAACCCAAATTACAAGTGGTGTTACCATATTTAGGGAAGGGGTACCTGAACTGAGTGTGACACTCATTTAAGTGTAAAACTCCTCACTCTTGGGTTCCAGGGCACAGCCTCTTGCAACTCTTCAGTCAGCAATTACTGCATTCTTTTTTCCTTTTTACAGGAGGTTGCTATCAAATCCCATGACACATTTCTATCACTAATCTGGCAATCTGCCATTCAGACCACAGGAAGCCCAGAAGAAAAGAATATCCACTTAGGGCCTTATTCCATCTTCATTCTTCCCTACAGCAGCAGAATTCCTTAAAGTCTCTAGAAGTTTGATCTGAATGGAAAGTATTTTGCCTGAATAGCACCCCTTATTGAGGCATTGTTTCCAAGTCACAAATTTAGATGAGTATTGTGGTTAGCAGTTTAGGGTTTGGTCATTTTTTCCACACCAACACAAGGAGTGCTAATCACTTCTAATGGTCTAGCAGGATTCTCTGGGACTTCTTGATTTGAGAGGGAAAAAAAATAAAAAAAAACAAGTTACTCTTCAAGACTTTACATAAGAAGTTACTCATTTTGGCAAGGAGCAGGACATTACATTTGAATGGTTTTCAGTGAGAAACACAGGACTACTAAAGGACTAAAGCCAGGACTCTGTTCACAAAATACATGCAAAAAACTTGTACTTTGAAAGAAAAGAAACAACTAAAACTATGATAGATGCATAAAAAGTAAGAAGAAGTGAAAATTTTAAGGCAGTATTCATAGTTGTCAGAGATAATGTGGAAGCCTTAAACTCATTTCCTATTTCTTTGTGCCTTATTGTATGAATGCGTTGTTGTACTTAAAATTGCTACTAATATTTTGTTATTGCCATGTAGAGATTTACAAAGAGATAGTAAGTTAGTTTTCATGTTCAGATCATTGCTGCTTCAATGATTATTACTATTATCACTTGTGTTTTCATGGAGCTATAATTGTTGGGAAGTAACTTTCTTATTGTTTTAACCAACAGCATATACCTGCATTTCTGTAATAAGAAGTATTGTCTCAGTCCTTCAGGTCATTCTGGTTGTTTCTGGGGGATTAATTCAATATTGTCTTCTCATTCCAGGTTATTGAAGGAAAGCTGTCTCCTTTCTTGCTGAAGGTGATCAAGTTTGCCACCTCTCATGTGTACAGCTGCAGCCTTTGTAGCCAAAAGGGTTTCATCTGTGAGATTTGCAACAATGGAGAAATCCTTTATCCCTTTGAGGACATTTCTACAAGCAGGTATTCCAGTGTGGTAATGTCAGTCACACATTTGATTTGAGTGTTAAAGCCTTGAGGATTCTCAGCCTCATAACCTTTTATTTAAATAATTAAGGACTAGATTCCACTAATGCACATTTCTGGGGCGCTACAGTAGATCACTGCTCCAGGGAGGCCACCATGAGCAAACTTGGAAACAAATGAGAAGTGCTACTTCTCAAGGTCCTGTAAGTCTCAGAACAGCTGTTCAAAAAGGGAGGAGCCCCCAGTATCATCACACAGTGTGATTTATACAAAGCTCTTCTGAGTTTGCAAAGTGTCCTGAAAAGCCAAATTACTTTTCTAGAGTGATCACAGACATCTTTCTGTTCTCTGGTATCACTGGGCCATAATGTACAGGGATCATCCCTTATAAAACAATAACCATCCATTCTGAAGTGTTTTCCCCATGAAATGTTATGGCTGGTTCTCTATTCTGTCTGCTTATTCCTCTGTGCCTATGTATGCAAGATTTTTTTTTTTTTTTAATTATATTGCTATTCTCAGGTGGCAACAAAGTAAGTGTAAGTGTATGTGAGTCCTAAACTAAACAAAAAAAAAAAAAACAACTTTATTCAGATCATGTAGAGTACTGGGTGCCAGGTCAGGGACAGGAGTCACATGGGAAACATAGAAGCAAAATGCAGGAAACCAAAGCAGACTTGGCAATACAGCAGAGTTACTGCTTTTTTTCAGCAGTGTCTTGGATTTTGAGTAAAGGAGATATACTTTCTTCCACCCTTAGCAGAAAGACAGTATATCTGACAGCACAGCATTCATCCACAGATAAGTATTTTTTGGCTGTTTCAAATACAGTCATTGTCATTTGTTCTCCAAAGTGTTCATTTGAAAGGGGAAAAAAATCAAGGACCCACCTTTGGAAACAATCAGGAGCAGTCTATTAAAAGGGTTTGTTAAGAATCTGCTTCCCTTGTATGCACAAAGATGTTAAATTACAAGTAACCAAAGACTACTCTTAAGGGATTTTCAGTTTGATCTGAGTTTCAAAGGTTGTTTGCACATTGTTTTTCCAGAGTCTTATTCTAAAAAATGTATTGACAAAGCAGTGGATAAAAGTTAAACAAGGTATGTGGCTGAGTTTATAAACAGTTTTTAAGAAAGAATGCATCTAGGGTGCATGGTGAGATGGGCTGAGTTAAAAGGCAGACTAAGAGGGCATAAAACATAAGATGTCTGTGGAGACTGCATAATAGGCAGTTGAAGAAATTCCCAAAAGATTAATGAGAATGTGAAGGAACATTTGGGAATACAAGTTTACATTAAAATTTGATTTGTCTGGGGGATTTTTGGTCACAAAACCATTATTGGGTGTATATTGTTTCCCTGCCCTTCAGCTGAGATCAGAGATACCTTGCAATTACAGAGTTCAAAACCCTCTGGAATCAAATAGAATTTGTCAGCAATTCAAGCCAAGAGAAGCTGCTCTAGCTCCTGTGTTTATGGGAGTTAGAAGCCAGAGAGGACTTGTGTTCATGTTTCACAAATGTGAAGTTATGGTTGATGTCATGCCAAAGACAGCAGTCTTTGTTAATGGTTTTAATTAAAACACGATCAGCATGAAAGGTTCTCCAATAGTTCTTATTTCATCATTCTGCTAACTCCTTTTGTATTTTTTATAACTAAACCTTGTTTTTATCCCCAGCATTTTCTGTTTCCCGTCCTAGTTAGTTTTCCCATCTCATTATGCACACCTGTGGAACTAACCAGATTATTTCAGTTCCATATTTTTGCTCTGGAGGCAAATTATGCCAATGGAGGAGCTTGTACACTTTACTGTGCAGCTCCATCAGCTCCAAAGCAGTGAGGGAGAAGGCCAGGTGGAAGGATACAAGTTGTGTTTCTTTCCATCTCTTGAAGATGAGAGAAGTTTATGAAGTAGGTGTACTGACCACTACAAGACAAGGTAAGGTGAGGTGAGTTAGAAATAGAGAGATGTACAGAGTAACCTGTGGCAAATGGGATGGCAAGTCCTAAAAGGTCCATGTGAAGACTTGCAATTTTACCTGAAAATTCTGATTGTGTTCAGAATTTCCTTGTCATTTGTCATACAGAGCTCTGAGTAAAACAGCTCAGATTTGTGATTTAGTTGTACTGTTCTGAGTCCACAGTGTACAGAAATAATTGACTACAACTCCCTTTTCTTCATCCTGGTTTTCTGGAATTGCTATCTACAGCATAGTATTCATATGTTATTCACAATAGTGGACTGTCAGATACCCCAGCTGAAGCTGGTGAGTTGAGGAGGAAAGAGCTGTTGAACTCTAAAGACCATATTTTTCTTTTTCATTTCAATGTTTGTTCACCTTTGAGCTATTAACTCTACCAGCAAACTGGACTGTTAGGCTAGAAATATTAAAAAGTGGGTACATGACATCTTTTGCAAACTTCAGCTTTTTTCTGCATGTTTGAAAAGTGAAGCCTGCTTTTGTGCCTGTGTGTATGTATATATGTATGTCTGTGTTGAGCTGGCATTTGGATTTTGGCTACCTCCATAACCTTTCTTGCTCTTTGGAGAGAAGAGTGATAGCTGTCAGAGTAGCCATTACAATTCCAAGGTGGTTCTCAGTTGGCTGTTAACTTTCCATCCTCATGGTCTCTTAGGTCAGCTTTGAGGTGACGAGATTGTTTCTCTCCAAAATATTCTCAGCAGTTTCTGGCACAGTGTTCAGTAGGAATTTATGAAGGATGGGTATTCTTTACATAGATTCTTTAGACAGCTGAGAGAAAAAGAGGGCCCCTCTTAAGGGCTGGAGTTTCTCTTTGGTCTGGTTATTTGCTTGAGAGTCATTTTTGTCAGTCCTTGGGCAAACAGAGTGAATACCTGGGTTATGCACTCCTCAGGGTTTGAATACACATATATTACATACCCTTCTCTCACTAATCAGTGTGACACATTCCTTTGTTGGCAAACGGTTCCAAAACAAACACAATCAGTTCACTTAATTAGCGGGTCTGTGGGCTGTGCTTGGCAGGCTCTTTACATCCTGCTCAACAATGCAGTGCAACAGTTTGCTGCCTTGGATGTAAGGGTGGGCTCACCAAGTCATAAGCTTTCTAATGATACATCCTCTCTCTGGCTGTTTTTGGGAGGTGGCCATTCTGCACAGAACATAATGAAAGCTGTGATTCAGTAGTTAAACAATTCCTTAAAAATTGTCCCATCCTTTTGATGCCTCTTCCAGTCAGTTTGATTCTTCTGTCCCCTATTTCCCTCTTTTCTATCTTACCCATATTTACATAATACTTTATCAGGGATCTTTCAAAATTTCACAATTTCACCTTGTTTTTGAAGGCCTTTAAATCATGAGAACTACTTAAAGCCTCTTGAATTAATTGCACATTTCATGGACCAAATTTTCAGCTACTGTAAACTCCCAGAGCTCTGCTTTTGCTGGAGTTCTGGCAACCTAAACTGAGCATCTACCTTCTATTTTATTTCTTGGGCTAAATTTGCCCCGGGCTTAAATTTAGTGAGCAAACATATAAAATTATCATATCACTTATTTTATATTTACAGGTGTTGTGCAATGACTTTAAATATCCTTGACTGTAAATTGGCTTGTTAGAGCTATCCTTGCCCATTAGCGAACAGGCACTTCCCCTTAAGTTGTCTGATTTTGCTTGTTCTTCACTAATGTGGGGAAGAGGTTTTGTTTCTTTCTCCTAAAATTAAATGACCCAACAACCAAACAACAGAAGTGAAGTCTGGATAGTGGCACTGTTGTCTATAGTAGTGGCTGTATTTGTTTTATAACTTTGAACCATTTTTAACAATTTTTAAATCTTAAGGAATACTGAGAAAATTACCTTTGGAATGAGAATAGAATTTATTAGAACATGTTTCCTGTCCCATCAAATAATTAAGCAATCATGGTTATGATTAAGATTATGTTACCCATTTAATAAAGTTTTGGTCTTGCCTGTCATCATCCTAATGATTACTTTCACAGGCAATTACATTTTTTGTGTTTTGCTGGTAAAGTTACTTACTTGTTAAGAACAATTTAATCTATTCCTTTCTTTTTATGTTCTGACTGTAGATGTATGTGAACCATGGAGAGTTGCTCTTTTGTGCTCATATTCATTTATCAAGGCTAAACTGTTTTCACTTTGTTAAGTTAATTTGTTCTTCTGATCAGTTAAGACATGTAGGCCTTCTAAGATACAAACCAGAAGGCCCAAGTTTAAAATAGATGTGCCACAGAACAGACTTGACTATATCAACGAGCTTGGATGCCTCCATAATCTTTGGCCACCATCCTGATAAGACCTGTGAATGTACTTTGCACATAGTGACAAGTCTTACTAAAGGCTCTGGGGCTGTGCATACTGAAGTCTTTGTAAAGTTACAGCTTACGTGTTATGGATGCTGTGTCACTGGACAAATGCAACTTTGAGCCTTTGGGAGAATGTAAAAGATAAATGTTAGGTGGAGAGACTGAAATATGCAGTACACATTATTTGCAGGAAATACCTTGGCACAGGTCAAAGGCATCACTCAAAGTACATAATTTTCTCTCTTGCTTTGATTGGTTTGTCTTTTGCTAGACAGCCTTTCCCCAGGCCCAGCCCACCTGAGTTGTGCCAGTAGTTTAGTACCTAATTTTTGAAAGATGCTGATAGCTAGTTCAAAGCACTCTGAAGTGATCTGCTCAGCACTTCTTCGAGGAAATGTAGGCACCTAAGTAGATGTTAAGTTCTCTTGGTAATTTAATTTCACCTGAATCTGTCAAAACTGATCAAAATCATCTGGCCCAGATTGTCTTATTTTTGTTTGTGCAGGGTAGCACAATAATGTTATCTGGAATATGTAAACAGAAAACAATAAAGTATACCAGCTTTTTCATCAAGTATTGTCTTTTGCAACTAAATTAGCTTTAGAGGTTGGTTTTACTTGCCTCGTGTCTCAGTGGTTTTAACTAGAATGTTCAATCAATGTCATATTAATGCCAGCTTTCTTCCATTCATTTATCATGTGGGCATCCCTCCCTAGGCAGGCTACTTGAATTGGTTCCTAAGCAACTGGAATAATATTGCTGCACGTGTGTGTCAGGCATTGATTGCCTTTGGGGCTTTTTTTGTATTGTAAGTGAACACAGGCTAGTCCTTTTTCCTTTTCTTTGTGTTCTGCTAAAGGCTTAGAGTTTGAAGGGCCTGTGTATGATATTCACATCTGAGCAATTCAGAAATGCTTGCAGAGAGGCACATGTGTATAGTGTGGGATGGTGCTCATCCTGGAATCCCCAGGCAAGGCTTACTTCAGCCAGTGTGGTTTTCTCCTTGGGGGTTTTTAATACCCAAGTTAAAGGTGGTTTAGTGTTTTGGGTGCTTGGTGAATGTTTGGGATCATCTAAGGAAAAAATAATGAATAACCCCATTTAATCCTGCTTTTACTCTGCATGGCAGGAAAGAAGAAACTGAAGTTTAGTCAGTGAAGGTTTAGCCCTAACAAATCCTTGATGAAATTTGTTTCAAGAGATTACTCAATTGACAAAGGTGTGCAAGGTCACAAAGGCACAAAGGAAGAGAGCTTTTTAAATGAAAAAAAAATTAAAAATTACAAAAGAAAGGGTGGTGGGTGAATATGGCACTGCAGTAAGACAGGGGAGCTCTTTGCCCTTCTCAGCTCTGCTAGGAGCCCCTGGCTGACCTTGAGCAAGCCAGTTCACCTCTCACTTCCTGCTATGAGGTGGGAATTGTGCTGTGTCTGGTACAGCCAGCCCCTGTGCATGAGACTGAAGGTATCCTAATAAACCTTGTAGGTTCCAGCAGCTTCATCCCACCTTTATACCAGTCACATTGGTAGGTCTGTCAACCAGTAAGGTTCTTATGAGACAAAAACCTGGCTTTCAGATGACATCCTGGGCCACCTGTTGATCATCCCTCTATAATTTTCTCTGTTTAAGGTGAAAGATCTTTGAGACCTCTTTGTGTTGTACCCCCTGCTTCAGGCACCTGATTCTGCTCAGGAGCACTTAATGGTGGTGCAGTGCAGAGGAGAAATCTGAGCATAATCGATTGGTTGTGCAGCATCTAGAACTACTTTAGCTATAATCCTGGGAAAAATAGATGGAAAGCATGAAAAGAACATGCTAGAATTTACAATTTACTAAATATTTATATGTTTCAAATACCCAGACTTAATGGGAGGTACTAACCATCAGCATTTCCTCAGCATACAAGGAATGATTATATGCTTTTAATGTAGAAAGGCTTTTCTTTTGTAAGTAGTGATGATAATAAGAGCATTATAATGCCTGTCTCTCTGTGAAGAGCTTTGCCCTTTCTCTTACACTTTCCAGTGCAACAGAAATTATTTAGAGGATTGAATTATTCTCTGCAATTTTTTACTCCATACAAGTAAAACATCCTTAAAACATAAAACACCCCCTAAAGCCTCAACAGAAATTGAGTTAGGTCAGGAAAGAGGGAAAAAAACCCAAACAAACAAAACACCAAAATAGAGAGGAAGCTATTTCAACTGCCTTCTTAGAAGACTGCAAGTCTGTGTGAAAACAACATGCTATGTTCACTAAGCCTTCAAATACTGTTTGAAAAATAGCAAGATGCTATTAATGTGCCGTGTCACAATATCATTCATTAAAGAAGGAAACATGAAAGGCCTGAATGGCTATGGGCTCATCAGCTTATTATCAGTAGTGAATAGCATTCTTACAAAGGATGTAGGGACTTTTTGGCCTCTAGACAAAGAATAAGTCAGGATTCAGAAATAGCACCTGAACTGTGTATTAGCTATGACAACAACAAGGGTTAAGGGAAAGATAAGTAAGTATAGTGAACTATTAAGTGAGCCTTTTATAGGCTACAAAATATATTTTATTTCTCCAGAGAAATAAAATAATTTTAATATACTGAGGCTTGAAAACAACAAAAGACCCTATGAAATTCTCATGTGGAAATAAAATTAGAACTCAGAATTAACTAGGAAGCAATCTGTTTGTAATAGTCTAAAAAGGAATATAATGTTGGTGGAGTATTTGGCATCACTGGAGAATCTCTCGCAGTGAGGTTAGAAGCAGTCAACCAGTTGGCATTCCAGGGCCAGTTAAGATTGACTGTATTTGACAGGAGGAAAAGCAAAGCTGTGTAGGTAGCTTGGGGTAGTATAGCTCCACCACTTTAAAAGGAGTGACTTCCAGTTGCACGAAGGCAGAGCAAGACCAACATTGTCCCCTGCCGTGGTGACTTTGTGAGGGGGACACAAGCATGCAGTGAAGGCTGAAATGAGTGTCCTCTGTACTTGTTCCTGTGCAGAGCTAGAGGCAGCTTTGTTCTCCAACTCAGAGCACCCTTTCTCCAGGCTGCTGCTTTGCTGTCATCTGGACCCCTTGGCTGGGCTCAACCTTCTTAAGAGAAGGCAGAAAATAGGCCTTCAGAGCAGCAGTCGGGGGGCACCAGAATGGACCCACGATTGCAGCAGTGGGTGCCAGTGCCAGGGACTGTGAGATCAGGGCTGGCTGTTTGCTCTGCCTCTGCTTAGTGCCTGACAGTGTGGGGTCCTGGGCATACCTTCAGCTACTGCACCAGCTCTAATGAATAACAGTTCCGACAGTTTTTCCTCTCTGTTTTGATTCTAAGTGATAGGAAAAAAAGTTTGTTAATCTTTTCTACTGACCTTATTTCTGAAAAATGAATTTGTATAAATTTGAACACCATCAGTCTTTGTTTGCTCTGCTGATGGCCTTTGACTTGAGAGAGCAGGTGTGCTGGCTCTTCTCTCATCCTGCTCAATCAATTTCAGCAGTAATTTCTGATAGGTTTTGTCGTTTCCATGCGTGCTGTAGAGAAATACTGGGCTAGCATAGGGGGTGGTGATGTGAGAGCACAAAATTACACTCCTCATCAATCATTACCCTCTAGCAACTTCCAGGGCACTGTAAACTGCTGACTAACAAGGGAGAATTAGCTTGATAAAATCACCATTAGTGTCAGTTCAGAGTGGTGTAAAGTTTTAAAGACACTGCTGTCTTCTGTCTCTTCCTTGCCCATTAGTGTGTCTGTTTGTGGAGATCCCAACCCAGCAAAGCACGTAAGCAAAGCACAAAGCACTTAATGCAAGGCAGATCAGTAATCCCAAAGAAATCAGTGGGATATGAGTCCTAAGCATGTGTGCATGTGCTTCAGTGGATAAAGGAAATAACACACTCTCTGAGCACAGAAATTGTAAATATCTCTGCATGAGCTGGTTTCTTGATTCAAAACCAGATTTAGACTAAGACTAAGAAAGACTGGACTGGAAAATCCAACAGTCAAGTTTTACTGCAAGAGAGCATGGAAGCCAGCAGATATACTGCTTTATACTTAGCCTTGTTCACCTGCCTTTTCTTACTCATATTTATCAGTTTATGCTCATTAGAAATGTGCTCCTTAAATCTCTGCTCAGCCTTCTCAAAGCTCTGCAGTTATTAAAATTTGGGCCATATTTGGACCCAGGCATAAAACTTCAAGTGCAGCCAGACCAGGAACAGGTTTTTTAAAAGTTGCGGGTGAGATGCAGCCAATACATCTAACAGGTTGTGTTAGCTCATGGACTTCTCTCAGTATTGTCAGACCACATGCCTTATGGCTTCTCACTTTTTGGGGGTTTCTTTCTTCACGTTTTCGATTTTTCTTCACAGTCTTGAAGACAAGAACCTTATTTCTATGAAAAATGGGTTCAAAGCAAACCAACAAAAAACCCACTAAAGTTATAATAATGGGCATTTGGAGTCTTATGTAGTCATTTCACTACAATAGCTACAAGAAAGGAAAAAAAAAAGTGCAAGGCATTTCAAGATGTCCTACAGAATCACCAAGGGTGACCAACATCCATTGTTTGTATTTCAGGATTACTCTAAAGTTTCATATTTTGTTTCTTTTATTATTTGAATATCCAGCTGAAATCTAAGACTTTTTACCTCTGACAGTCCTCCTTTTACTTTTTCCTTTGGTTACAAAGCTGTAGTGACAACTCATCACTACAGATAGATACTTGCATTGAAAGGCTGAGAATGTCCAACTGTTGAGTTGTAGCCCACTCATGGTCACCAGATGTTTCTTTGCTCATCAAGTCTGCAGCTGGGGCTTGATCTGCTGTGACATTAAATTCATTGCCTCACAATGCCCCAAAAGTAAATCGGTCATCTTGTTTGAGCAGTTGATTCGTTTGAAGTCTTAATGTCACGTTTGAGAACAGAGTAACACAGCTTTGAATGCCAGAAGCATAGCTCAATGTATTGATCAATTGATCAACATAGATCAGTTGTGTTCATCTAGTCTAGTCTTCCATAGGACATAGGGCAGACAACATCACTTACCTCTGTTACATTTTTACTTTTGAAATGACAACTTCTCCTGCTGTTCAAGTGGACTTTTCTTTACTCTTTCCAGAACAGCTGACCACTGGAGCTTCAATGAGAAATATGTCATATCATGGTTGTTGCAAATTGCAGAATCTGTTTCTGCAAATGCTGAAATATACCTTATTGTAAAATAGTATATTCACTCCTCATTTACAATCAAAGCAAGACTTTTCTTTCATAAAACAAAGTTGATGTATTTTCAGTGATATACTTTAATGCTAGTTACTGCGAAGATAAGTATTAATCCTTCTAAAAACTTGTCTGTGAAGCAGAAGTGCTGGGACAGGTTCTCAGCAGCTGCAAAATGAATGTAAGTCAATTTATTTTAGTGCTCCTGAGTAGCTTTACACCAGAGGAGGTGTGGCCACACCAGTGTCTTTTACAGTGTCACTCTAATGAAGCATAATGCTTTTGAGCTCCCAGAATGGTGTCAAGGAATACCTACTGCCCACAGTCCATGTGAAGCCCGTTGCATGCTCTGGTCCTATTATGTGATTCAATTTTGACACTAATTTGTGTTTGCAGGTGTGAAAGCTGTGGTGCTGTCTTCCACTCTGAGTGCAAAGTGAAGGCTGTACCATGCCCCAGGTGTGTGCGTAAAGAATTGCAGAAGAAGCAGAAATCCTTCTGGAGGAAACTGAATATGGACGAGAACTTTGAAGAGTCTTGCAACATGTTTGAATTGTCATATCAGAACACATGAGTTCCTTAAGGCAGTGGCCAGTCTGAAGAGAATCCTTCTCCCAGTTGCCAGTTCAAGCAAATTCTCTGCTTAGACAGGCAGAAATGTTTTTGAAAACTATTACCTGACCTTCTTTATCTGTGAATAAGAGCTGCCAGAGTGGCCATAAAGCCTTGTTGGCTTTGAAATGCCAGTGGCTAAACTGCATTGAAGTCCAGCCGTTAGCTCCGTACAAAATGTGGTTTACAAGAAATGCTTTAGGTCTAGCTAATTAAGTACCAACTTTCTTTTCCACCTATGGAGAACACTTTTATCTCATGGCAGAAAATATTTGCTGCCATGACTGCATTATTTTTTATGTTGTTCATTTAGAATTGATGAATCATCTACTTATTTATATGTATTATTTATTTATTAGTAGCCTTGGCAGGGGTTCTGGTGAGGTGTTTCACAGAATCCAATAGAGCAGTAATTATTTTAAGTCCACTGTCTCCTTCCGATATGGACATGTGGTTCCATTTCCTCCTGTTTTCAGAGAACTATCTTAAAGGATCAGTGCATTTACATTTTAAAGGATCTCCCATTAAACATTATTCAGGGTGCTTACAAACATAAGACACAGAATAATTCCTTCAGTTATGTTTATATATTTATAACCACCCCAGTGAACTGCTCCATATTCAGATAAGCATGGGATCTGCTACTCTTTGTTCAGGCTGGGAATATCAGTAAAGCTCTGTCACTGAAGTCCTTTGAGATTTGTGCTGGTTACTCTTGATTTATGGGAGGCTATGTCCTTGTCTGTAATAACATGATGTTGGTTTTCCTCCTTCCAGTCTGAAACTTTAGGGCATTTTAAGTGTTCACATTGGTTTGCTTTTTATTTCCTAAGGTTTACTTCAACTGTTTTTCTAATCTGAGCCTGTTAAACTAATAGTCAGGAAAGTGGTCTTGCCCATTTTAGTTAGCAAATACCTCCAAATTTGTGAAACACTACTTTGCTTGTTTTCATATGCAGCTTGTGTTCTGCATTCTCTTTGAGCTCCAAGGCATTTATAGTTCTGTAATGACTTCCATGGTGGACAGTGAAGTTGCTCGAGGTATGATTCTGCTTCACACACCTGGAACACAGGGAAGTATAAAACAGTGAATTATTTTGTAAAGGGAAGTAGATGATGGATTTAACTGGGGAGGTGTGTGTCATTACTGGCAGTATGTTTAATTCATGGTGAGTTCACTTCTAATGAGCAGTTAGATTGTCTTCCCCCCATTTCATATTCCTGACTCTTTTCCACACCCTGCAGTGATATGTGTATTACATACCTATGAAAGCATTCATATATATATACATACACGCACACATCTATATATATAGAAAGTAAATATGGTTTTTGGAGAATAATGCCAGTTGCATGTGTATTTTTCCTCTCCTCTCACATAGGTTTGTGAAAATATGGAATACTGATTTTTGCTTCCTATATAATCTACAGACTGTTGCATTCAAGGCAGAAAGCAGTTTTGATTGTTGAAGCATCTCACCAATTGCTGAAGTATTTTAAATAAAAGAACAGGGTACATCATGCTTACATTAAAAGGTAAAATGCTGCAATGAGTTGCCTTGTACTGGAATATAAGTGGTTACCTTTTTCAGCCTCCAGTCAAAGAAAAAAGTAGCTTTCTGAAATTTGAGTGCAACTACTATATACATACAGAAGCACGTTTATATCTCTATACATTAGACAACCAGTGCCTTTTCTTTTCCAGGGATTCTTTAGAAGGAAGTGAGGGTTTTCCCATGTTCTTGGCAAAGTGCTGGAGGGATTCCCATACTTAATATACCTGGTGAATCATGCACCTTTGTCACTAAAAGTAATACTTACCATACACAATGGTGTCTCTGTCTCAGCTCACTGTTCCTCATGTGAAATGAGTTGCTTTTGGCTATCACCCTTAAAGGTATAATGTTCCTTGCAAATCCATTCCCATGCAAAGAATTCCCTGTGTGTTCAGAAATGCAAACACTGGGGAAGTATTGTGGAATTAGTCAGGCAAACAGGAACTGCACTGGTACTGGCTGAATAAACAGAACGCTCCCATGTTTTTCAGCTTGTGTCACTACAATTACTGCTGTGGCAAAGCCAGTAGCTCTGAAACTGTCAGCATTTGGCAGGTACTGTTTTGAATTATCTGTAGGCATAATGTTAGGCCATTAAAGAAAAAGTGGTGGTGTTTTTCGTATCATCATGCTCTGGCATTTACGATACCTCACAGTGCTCGTTCATGTCCAGCTCAGTTTGGAGAAGGCTGCTTGAGTGTACTGTCAAAAGCCATATGGAGTCAAGGAATCAAGGTTCAGACCTTGCAAAATATTAGTTACTTTGACAGATATCCTATCTCCAAAGTACCAGTTATGTGGGTGGTTAGATATTGGAATTGAACTCTGGAATAACAACACAGACAGCATTGGAGTTGCTCTGGGTGTGTGCAGGTACTACAGAACAGTTTCTTTGCTAACAGAGTTTTAAAGGATAAAAAAAGATGTTGGCAAAACTGCTGAAATTCATCATGAGTCTGAAACCACTGCCATTACAAATGACATAGAGCAAGAGCATGTTATGATATTCTGTCTGTGCCCAGATCTTTATGTAAAAGGATACTGTACAATAGAGATCATGCTATTTGCTTTAAAATCCAGTATTGTTGTAAACCAGCTAGTTCCTAAAATGAATAGACATTCATTTGTACTTTGGAAAAGTGATACAGCTTCACGGTAGCTCTAGGAGCAGGCTGTGAAGTCAAGATGATGTCCTCTCAGGGATGCCTAGCTCCTGCCCAAAACCAGTTATTCCTTATGAATAGGTAAGATAAAGTATTCTGTCACCAATTTTTGTAAGCATAATGAAGGCTTAATCCTGCCCTCAGTTGATTTCCTTGCAGAGCCATCTGCAAGCAGGAGCCTCAGCATGGGGTTCTGCAGGTGGTTTGGGTTTCAAACAGCACTGTACCCTTGCATGGTTGTTTCTGCTGTACTACCAGTGCTCCATGCTGGTCCCCACTGCTACTGTCTGCCCATTCTGCAGACCACAGCCTGCATGTGGCTCTGCTCTGCAGACTTCTAGATGAGCATCAGCTGGTAAAGTTCCTGGGGGCTTTGCAGATTGCACAGCTCTGCCCACATCTTCCCCCTACCCCAGGTGAAATTATGCATTAGTACTTCAGTCTTGTCCTGCCCATGCACAATTTGAATGATACCAGTTTATTGTGAATCAAGAATAAAATATACTGTTTATCTTCTTCAAAGAGAAGATGCTTTCAGAACTGACTGAGAAGGAATTGATCTGTAATTCAGTTACTGCTTTTGCTTTATACTGAACTTGTTATCAGTGTAAAAACAGGATGCTTAACTGCAGTGGACCATACCTGTAGAGAGTCCATTTCTTAACTGCAGTGGACTCTCTACAGGTACTTACAGTTGTTAGTCTGATATTATTTTAATCTAGCACACTATCGAAATCCTTATTCAAGTCTCTTTTCCTCTTTACCCTAACCATCTACCTTTCCTTTAATAGGAAGGTGGGCCTACTTAGGGGATGCAAACTGCAGCTCTTTTTGTGTTATCAATCTATAAAAAGAGAAATTTGTATTTCTTATGTAGGAATCCTCCTATTGCTTTTCTTGTTTTTTGTCTGTCTGACATGGTGGGAAATGATGGGTTGGTGATGTGACAAAATATCCTGGCTGGCACATACCAATATGAGCTCATTGCTGGGATCCACAGGAGCTGCTACTTATGAGGGAAGGTACTCTTTTGAGAGGAAGTTATGTGTTTTGCAGTACTGCACAGGCTCTGATGGCCCTGTTAGGAGTGAATCATCAGGGTATCTCTAGAGCCCCTCTTCTCTTATAATTAGGATAGTGTGTGTATTACAATAGATTGATAATGTCTTGAACAATTTTTTAAAAGAGCAGAGGATGTCTCTTTACAATGAAATGGGGAAGCTGTCCAGTTGAGTTTTGCTTCTCCCTGTAGCAACAGCAGCCACCGAGTTTCCTAAGCTTCCCAAAGGTCACTGCCTGGATTGCAGCTGACTGTTGATCTGTATAAAAAAATTAATTGAATAATCATCTTAAAGGTCTAATTTTTTTTTCCTGCCACTGACTTGCAAGCCAGTCTCCCCTCTCTCTCCACTGTATCTGTCCCTGTCCTTACTCACAGTACTGAGCCTACAGCCAGGCTTGGAGCTTCATAGGTCATTGTGTTGCTTTTGAACCAGTTGAGTCCAGTCATCTCTCCTTTGTAATTTGCCTCCCAATTTTCCCTTCCCAGTAGGAGTGCCTTACAGTACAGTATATTAGTGTCTCTCTTCCTGTTTTGGATTTCCTGATTGCATCTGCTGTTTTATTAACTTGTAGACTTAAACTGAAATGCTCTTGTGGCTGGGCCTGCTCTTTTGCAGGAGCAGCTGAGTAAATCAGTTTGCTTATTCTGCCCTCATGAAGTTAGCTCTACAGGCTTCATATACCAGCTCTGAAGACACCAAGCTATGTGGGAACTCCTCACTTTTGCTCATTTTGGTGCCTTAAATTTTGAGAAGTGAATGATTTTTTTAAGAAATGCTCTGCCATGATGCAATGTGTTTGGCATTGGAGCTTAAAACCCTTGCTCACGACAGTTTCCATCATGCTAGAAATGGTAACCATAACATTTGTTTACTGTCTATGCTTTGTGAAGGCATTATGAGAGAGGATAGCATGGAGATGGTATTGGTTCTTATTATGTGTATTTTTGAGACTTGCTGGGCTGCTTAGCCTTAGATGCAGTTGTGCAAGACCTTCAGAAGCTGTGCATATATATAATAACGTCAAGTACAGAGAATTAAAACAGGCTCAGGTCACATGTAGTTTTGCTCCTCCTGGAGCCCCTGGCCAGTCCACACAATGTGGCTGGGACTCCCATACAGAGCCCCCTGCTCGCTTGCACAGCTGGGTCCAGTGCTGTGGGAGTGAAGATGTTTCCTCAAAGCTCAATTTTAATGCAGCCTGGCTCCCTGAAGGCTGACCCAGTGTGGGTTTGGTCAGCCTTACCTTAGAGAGAGGGTTAACCCATTGAAATTTTAGCATTATTTGCTGAAGTATGTGGCATTTGTCAGCCTGGGGCACAAGTCCATACTAACTGTGAATTTGTAAGTCCACATTTGACACCAGTAGCAGGAATCCCCTTTAACAGCAGCAATGCTGCTACTGCATTTTAGCCGTTTAGTGAGGAAACAGCCTGGATAACAATGTGCAAAGTCCTTCTTTACTTGAAAACCCTGGTGTGGCTGTGATGACTTGAGTCATATCTTAAAATGCCAATTTCACCCAAATTCCTTAGGGTGGCCATTAATCCAAATTGCAAACATGCCACTTGTGGTCGGCATCAGAGATATCTAGGTCTGGAAAGCTGTCAGCTGTCTAGGACCAAAGTGTATTAGAATTTGTGCACAAGTGTCAGTGGCTCAATTATTTATTTATTCCTGTGTAGTCCACATGTTATACCATTATAAATCCTTGAATACACAGGATTTTTCCACACAATCCTTTTGGTGGAAAAAGGATTTGTTTCAGTTTTGCTTATGCACTTGTCTACCAAGTTGATTTTGCTTAAACTAAACTGTGCTTTCAGTTTTGATTTTTAATTAATACCTGTGATGCCAGGTTACCTTCTATGAATCCCTCCTATACTTGATGTAAGCAAAAGTAAATTAATGAGCAAAATGTATGTTTCATAGGTATTAAGTGATAAAGGCAGCTTCCAAATCAACTTCAGTTCAGTCAAGGCAGTTAAAAGCCAGGGAAAGCCAGGTGTGAGCAGCAGAGCACAGTGGCTGATGTGGTCCCTGGCAGCCTGTGCTTTCCTTCCTGCCAGAGCACCAGCTCACCTGCACCACTTACAGTGAATTTTAGCATTGCTGGCAGTGCACCCTGAGTTTTTGGAATACCCTTATGTGTGTGTGTTACTGTGTTAACTTATTTGCGACATTGTTACGTGTGTTTCATTGTTTGCGTTGTTTGGTTTTTTTTACTTTTGACGAGGATATTTTTTAAATTATCTGCAACTCCTGGGCAATAGTCTTAATTTATTATTGATGTGTAATGATGTTATAATTTAAATCCATTAAGTTGAATTGCTTGTTGACACTTGAGCAGGGTTTATTTGGGTTCACTTGTGACTGCATCAGAGCACCAGTCCCTCCTGTATAAAGGCAACTCTCAATAAACACTAAAAAAATGTTATGCGTCTTTTTTAATTTGCCTTCTGGTGGGTATTGTACCATAGGTAGGGCAAGCTCTGAAAGAGTGATAGTTTTCTTAAAAATACTTCTCTGCTGGTTAAAGTCTTCTGAAACTGAGAAAATATGATACTTACTGTTCCCAGATCTCAGCCAGGAGGGCCTCTGGAAGTACTGTTGAGGTCTGCATCAGTCAGTGGGGGTTTGGATTCCCAGTTAAATCTTGTGTTTTTGGAAAACCACAAATTCCTAGATTTTTAATGGTGCTGACCTCTGCCACAAGCTCCCAGGGGAGCTTACTGTGGCTTTGAGGCACCCCTGGAAACAGAGCTCCTGGGAGGCTTGCAGGAGGCAGCTGCTTACTGTGTGGCTGCCATGTGTCCTCTGCCAGCAGGGTCCAAGGTCAGGGCCTTGAACTCTAAGTAAGGGAAGCATCTCCCAGGTGGGCTGAGGGGACCACTGAGGGTCTGGGAGGGCAGGATTTTGCACATGTTATGAGGGTTCTCACACCTATGGATGTAGGAGTAGGCAAGATTCTTGTTCTTCTTGGTTGTTTCTTCCAGTGCACCAGCTAAAAAGAGCTTCTGCAGCTCCTTGAATCTGGATTTGATGGCTAAAGATTGCAGCACAGAGCTGTGGTGGAGCTCATGGGTCTAAAACCCCTGCCTGAGACTCCCCAGAGCATTCCACACCCAGCCCTATGCTCTGGCAGCATATTTCAAAGGGAAGGCTATATCCCTTCCTTCACTATCTTCCTGCCCCTCCTCAGAAAGACCAGAAGTCCATCAGGAATGTCACTCCTCTCTCCTGCAGGAACCTTTGGACTTCATTCCTGTGATGAAGTCAACTACAAGCAATGAGTTAATGTTTGACTGGGACCACACAGGCTGCACAAGGAAACCATGTGCAAGACCTTCTCTTCCTCCTTATTTGCTTTACAAGGTGAGCAAATTCTGTTATGACATCTCCTTCCCCTTTCACTGCCACCTCCCCTCCTCACTTCACCCTGTAAGAGATGGTGTGAAAAAGCATCCACACAGAGCAGAGACCATGGGGTCTGTGGAGTCCTGGGAAGAGCATGTCAATCCAAGCTCAAGCTCTTCTTTTAAAATCAGGGTAATTAATTTTAAAAGAGCTTCCCTTCTAGCTCTCAAAATTAAGACTATTTAGGTTATTACGTGAGGTTGACTGGTTTTCTGAAAGAATGGAGCTAGCAACCTCCTCCTTTCCGTAGGGACTGAGGGGGACCTTCCGGGTGTGAGGCTCTCCATACCTTTTCAGTAAGAGCACGCTGAGGGCAAATGAAAATATTCTGGGAGTGTGTGTACATAGCTCTGGACTGTCTTGTTAAAAGAGTTCTTGTTTAACTAAATACTCTCCAAAATAGTGGTTCCATTTAAAGACCTGAGTATTACCACTATGAGAAGGTGGTGAAAAGCATCTCAGATAATCAAGTGTTACAATTAAAACCAGACAAAGTCTTCAAGGCAAGCAGGAGTCAATTCCATCCATTTTAAGCATAGACAAATATAAAACTTGGCACTGAAGCGGCAAACATGCTTTAAAAAAGTCAGTCCATTGTTTATAGTAAGTGACTTTCAATTTTCTATAATTTAGTTTCAAGGCATTAGCATTCATTTAAATATTAAAAATGATGTTGCAAGGCTCATGTGGAAAGCAAGACAAGTCAAATAAGAGCTTCTGTTAAAGGACTCAGCTTTCATTTAGTTGAAAATCATCATGTTTATCATGATGCATTTAGAGGTGAGTAAGAAGGAATTATTATTAAAGTTAGGTACTGTTTAAAAATAAGAAAGTGCAAATTACTGAATCAGTGTAAGAAAGTAATAGATGTAATCAGCATGCATAAAGCAGTTCAGTCCAAAGTGCTTTTCTAGCATTTGAGATTATAAATTAATCTTATTTCTGACTGTCATTGCAGGCAAATATCTGAAGTGCAGCAACAAAGTAACGAAACACAAGGAGTGTGCAGTTTTGGGCACCACAATACAAGTAAGATGTTAGGGTATTAGAGAGCATCCCAGAGGAGGGCAGCAGAGATGGTGAAGGGCCTTGAGGGGAAACCATATGTGGAGCAGCTGAGGTCATTTGGTCTGTTCAGTTTGGAGGAGAGGACACTGAGGGAAGACCTCATTGCAGTCACAACTTCCTTGTGAGGGGAAGAGGAGGGGCAGGTACTGATCTCTTCCTTCTGGTGACCAGTGACAGGAACAGAGGAAATGGCCTGAAATTGTGTTGGGGGGGGATTTAAGTTGGATGTTAGGGAAAGGGTGGTTGGGCACTGGAATGAGCCCCCTAGGGAAGTGGTCCCAGCACCAAACCTGGCAGAGTTCAAGAAGTCTTTGAATAATGCTCTCAGGCACAGGGTGTGACTCTTAGGGATGGCGCTGTGCAGGGCCAGGAGTTCAACTCCCTAGTTCTTATGGGTCCCTTCCAACACAGCTTATTCTGTGATTCTATGTCTCTCCCTCAGTTTGTACCTTCCCCTGCAGTGATTTCTGAGGGCAGGGGTACAAATGCCCACGAAAGCAAGGCTAGGGTGAAAAACAAATGCCAGCACCATCCTGTCAACAGACATTGTCACACAATGGCTTGTGACATTGGTGGGTACTTTCTTGTGTACATATTGCAAAATGTCCTGTTCTGTCTTGGACTCTGCACTTCTGAAGGACACTTGTTTCAAATTTGACAGACAGCATGTTTGATCCTCTAAGCAGATCTGCTGGCTCCAATGAAAACTGCAGTTTGTCAAAGAACCCGAGCTGGGCTCTCAGTATTTAAAGACAGGAGCTGTAGCAGTGTATAAAATTGGCAGGTTCCTTGTGAAATACAAGTGCATCTAGCACAGAGTTAACCCTGGGTGATAACAGGTAAAAGAGGGCAAAAGCATAATAAAATACAGGTCTCTACTGTAGGTATTTACACAGTATCAAGATTGTTAGCTGTGCTTAGATATTTATGTCAAGTGTTAACTGCACTGTCATAAAACAATAAAGTACTTCTGTGAAGTGCTTAGGGCAAAGGGGAGGCAGAGAAGTCTCACTATATAAGGCCCTCCTCCTGCATCTGTGGCAATCCATGGGAATGTTTCCATAGTTATCAGCCGGAGTTGTGTGGAGGCCTGCTAGGGGAGGGCAAGCAGAAGCACATTTACTATGTTTAGAGCAGGTAACTAATGATTTTGTCTCAGAGAGGATATTGGCACCACCACATTCTAGGAGCTAACACAGCTGGTAAGTCCACCTTGCAGTAAGAGGAGAGATTAGGTTCCTCCTGGCAGCAGGGATGTCCTTTGGTGTTTCACAGAAATACTGACCATAAAATCTGAGAGATTACAATAAGAGAACTGCTGTGCTCTGTGTGGCCATGGGGTGAAAAGGGGTGAAAAGGGCAAGAGTCTAGTGTCCCAGAGTTTCTACCCAGTGTACCCTGACTCTGCACACTTCCAGCTCTAGGCTGTTGCGACTCTGCTACTCACGCTGGGCTCACAGTAGGCTTCCCCTCAGCACTTTGGCTGCAGGACCAGACTTCTCATCTGAGTTTAGTGTTTGTATGTAGTGGACCAAACTGAAACGCCAGTCCTAATCAGTCAGAGCACCAGGGAGTTTAGATCCAGGCATGGTGCCTGCCTGTCCATGGGTCTGTAGCTCCAGTTTGTCTTCCCTGCTTCTTGTGTCTGCCCTTCATGAGGTTATGGCAAGACTGCTTCTCCAAGCCATGCTGATACATGGGACTTAGTAGTAAAGTATTGCTCTTCCACTAGGGATGGTTCCTATGGAGTTGTTCCCTGTTCTGATGCCACTATATGGGATGGTGTTTTCTTGCTTCTTTCCAGATGCAGGAAGTAATTCTTCTTTATCAAAACATCTAGTAGAAGTCTCCCCCACACAGCAATCCCACAGCTGTCCTGAGAGGGGTAGGAGAAATACCAGCTTCCTGACCCTGTCCTGCTGTGGACAATGCTCCTCAAAGGTTAGTTAGGTTCAAATCAGAGAAACATCTTTGCCCAGAAGATTTTTCAAAGCCCTTCATGAATTTGAGTATTGTGGCCAGCCTTGCTTTCTCTGTCAGGAACCACAGTGCTCCACACGTGCTGGTCTTCACTGTTCTCTGAGGGAGCTGATAGGAGCTGTATGGAAAACAGATGGGTAGGTGTTGAGTGCTTCAGGATCTGACCTCATGTCTCTCAATTGTCTGAATTAATTTTGAGCCAAACGCAATTGGATGAGCCTTCCATACTTCTTTCTCAAAAACATTGTCCATGCCATTTCTTGTCTCATATTTTATCTAAAAAGCTAATGAATAGAGCTGAAATCTGCCCCTCACTTGTCAGCTACATCAGCTTTCAAACTCCAGGCTTAACTTCATACTGGGACAGCATTCCAAGTCCATGGGCTCATTTCTGCCATATTTCAGTGTGAGACTGAGTTAGTCCCTCCTGAGTCCTGGGTGGTGTCACAGTGGCAATAAGCAGCTTCACTCCCATGGCACTTGTTGTCCCTTTCATCCCTCCAGCCCTCAGCTTTGCTGGGACTGGAGATGTGGCCCAGATTCATTCCCCTGCTCCCAACAGCACCACAGGCTCCTACTCCACAGGACCAGCACCTCCCTCAGCAGAGTGCTGTAGGACACCCTGTCCTTGCATCCCACTGTTCTGGTGCAAACCACAGGTATATTAAGCTCCATTTAGAAACAGGTGAGCAGTTTCCCATGTGTACCCAGGGCAGAGTGCCCCCGCACCAGCATCTTCTTGGCTGTGTGACCTTTTCCCGTGAATATCTCAGCGGTGTCCTCATCACGAGTTCTTCAGCCTGTGGCATGGTGAGACAGCCTGGGACATTGTGGTGACCCTGTTAGATTGCACACCTCTTGCTCTGCATAGCCACGCGTTACAATTTTTCGCTTTACACTTCCCTGTAGGGGTGCGGGGGGGCCCTTGGAGCTGCGTGGGACGGGCAGGGACGTGCCCCGGGAGAGCCGC